CCATCACAAGCTAGTATCGCTCAAAGGCTAAGTATATGTTGGGCAACTTAATCATCGATTCGGTTCAACATCAACACGGATATCTTCTGGCTCTCGCTGCATGTCGAGGCGTAAGATGTTAACACCAGTGGAGATGGATTCTCATAGCCACATATGCGGCCCGTTACGTTTGAGAATACAAAAGACCTATCTGTGAGACAATATTTATGGTTGTCTCTCATTCTGGTATAAGAACAACTGGGCAAGAGGTGAATTGCACGGGGCCGAGATAGCCGAAACCCATCTACCTCGATCCATTTAGTGCCTCATACTCTTTGACAACGGTTTTGCTCTGCAGTTTCATTGTTCAACGGTAATGTTTTGGTGCTACTCATCTGATTAGAAATTGAATCCAACGACGGACAGCTTTCAAATACTTGCCGCTCGTATCCGAGAGAGAACAAGGTCAGCAAGAAGACACGTGAAATCAGGCCCTAAAAGTATTTCATACTCTGTTTCTGGCCCCCATGAATGTTGGGACACCTTCCGTTGACTGGAGAACACGCAAACGCGCGACGCGACGCGTTGGCGATCAGGTCACGTGATGGTATCCTCACCTAACCCATGTCAGCATAACGCTGTGACACTCGGCAGACAGTGCCGAGGAAGACCGCAACACAAAATCACACGAAACATTGATCATATCACGCAAAACAGACCTTGACCCTGGAGGGCAACCGTACAAGACACGGAACCGTCAGAGCGTCAAGCAACAGTTCGACATTTGTGGGCTGTGCATCTCATCTATAGAATCCAGGATCGACGATCAGCCATTGGTCCGCTCTTAACCCGGAGGAAAATTGCGAAAGCATGTCCAGTCTGTGCAGGCTATGTGGTCAATGAAGTATACTCAGCCCACCATACGAGGACACTCTGGAGCAAGCTCGCTGGGAGAATTGAAGCCGAATTGCGCCAGCGGGGAAAGTACAGCAAATTATGGATCTCAATCGAAGCAGGGCGACGCAGATCATCCTCGCGATCAAAAATCTCAAAGCTGCAGACAGACATACTTACGACGATCAACGATGCTAGTCCCGCGATTGGCGTCATTCGCTTGGCAGTCGTACCTATAAAAGAACAAGGGGCTTTCAGAACACGCCATTCCCATTTCCTTCGGAGTCAGCACTTTTTTTTTCAACCCTTCTTCCCTACTTTCAATTCTTCTATCATGTTGACCTCTGCGTTTGCGTCGATCGCACTCACTGTTGTCCTTTCCCTCGCTGCCGTGCGCAGTGCCCCCGTGGTATGTCCCATTTCTTCTTATCTCTTTCGCTCCTCCCCAGTCAATGCTGAGCCTGCGGTCTGTCGTTTCCCAGGCCATCCGCGCGGATTTTGTCCCTCAAGCGTGCAGCGGCACCAATGGCTCCGGTACCTGCGTGGACATAGCCACCGCGCCTGTCGGGCAGCACGTCAACGCAGCGGGGTGCACCAATGTCGATTCCCCCAAGTCGCTCAAGTTGAACGTCGATAATGACTGCGTGTCATTTACGTGCGTGCTCCTCCTTCATCCTAACAATCCATTCGTGCTGACAGAATTCGCCTACCAGTAACAAAGACTGCGTTGTCGACTTTGCCTCTGGCACCGACTTCGCGACGGAGCACTTCTCCGACGACGCGGACATCAATGACCTCACGTCGAACATCCAGAGCATCCAATGCGAAACGGACCCTGGGACCGTCAATGGGCTGTTCCCCCAGTGATCTGTGTGTTTTTCCGGGGAGCAAGCTGCGAGGGTTAGGATCGTGAAGGAGACGACGATTACCGAACATGAGAGACGAGCGAGATTTGTATTTCGGTCGATCCTAGTACAAATCTCAGGGTGTTGAAAAAAAGTTGCATTGGATGGATGGACTTTTAGAAGTGAGTTCCCGGTAATATTTGGTCTTGTGTACACGTGGCGCATCACCGTGTTTCGTCACGTGCGTGTCAGCCATCAGCCCCCAAGAAATTAAGGTGCCAGCGTAACTTGTCCGTCTGATTCCGAGTACGAGTAAGTCCCATGTTTCGATCGAATTGCCCTCAACGGAAGCTGGGTCCATAATTCCTGCTTCACAATGGTCAGAGTTGGGTCAGAGTTTGAAGTTGAAGTTGAACTCGAGTTGAACTGCCTTCAACAAATCTTCAAGTGAAAGAAAACCAACATGGGGCGAATACCAGATTTCTCTCAGAACCGCCCGCCCAAAGTAGTTTTTTTCTGCAGCTCAATTAGCTACATACTACAATTACCAGTCGCCGTTGCGTTGCATCCACTCTTTGGTATCAGTATTCAACTGTCAACTACTACATCCCAGAATGGGTCCATATTCCAGGATCTTTAGAGGCCTGTGACCTTGCCGGCACCTGCGCTCGCCACAACAATGGACGCGACTGAGGCGGCGGCATCGGCGGTGTAGGTGTATGGCACAGTTGTCAAGGTACCGACGTCAATCTGCAGCTCAAGATCAAGGACATGCCTGCAGTCAAAAAGCATTAGGGGCTGCTCACATCGGTCTCAAGGGTGGTGTTGGTGAAGACATTGTTCAGCTGGTTGGCGCTTGAATAATATTAGCTTATTGAGCAGGAACCGGAAACCGAAAACGCTTACAAGCCACCGTTGAGCGTGGTCTCAATTGGGTCGATGACCTATTGCGTGTGGAGTCCAACGGATTGATGCTACATGGTTGAAGAAACTTACATTCGTGAACTGGTTGTCCTCGATCAGAGTTTGGGCACCGTCGCGGGAGTCCACGGCACTGTTCAGAACGTTGTCGAAGAAGTTGGAGTAGATGTGCCTGAGAGCACGAAATTTGTCAGCACGCAAGATAATCGTTCCCCTGGAGAGAACGTACGCAGTGCCGAATCGCAAAGAGGGAGTGCGGGAATTAATCTCGAGGAAGTGGTTGTGGTCTACCCGGCGACGCAAAGTGAATACTCAATCTTGATAGGTAAAGGGAAACGCACGATACGTGACACTGGTGGGAGGCGTTGAGTAACTCAGTAAGTGGATGATAAAAAACACAGAACACACCGCAGATGGCCGCTGTCTTCGTCCCCGGTGTTGTCAGACCCTCCGACAAGGGAGCATTTGAAGTGCTGCTGGAATACGTTCCAGGAGACCGTGACGAAGCTGAACGACTGTCAGTCTGGTTCATACTGCTAATATTCAGACGAACTCTGTGCCGTGGTTCATGTCGAGTTGGCCGTCGTAAAAGTCCTTGTCGTGGTCAAGGTCCGAGGTAAACTAGAAATAATGATCTTATTCCCGGTCTTCCAAATAAAATAGCCAGGGCGTACGGTGTTGTGCTGGAAAGCAGAATAATCAGCGACTAGACATTAAATTTTATGCTGAACGTACGTCAACCCAGATGTTGGTAGAAGTTTGGAGCTCGATAAGGTCCGTGGGTGCGGGGGATTTTGACAACTGCAGGTTGCGGAAAATGACGTTTGTTCCTTTCTACACGACTTTAAGCCCGCTATTCGCGGAGAAGCAGAACATGTTCATGTAGTTCACCTTGACACGAAATCCACCGCCTGTGACGCCGGAGTTAGCCCCAATCCCCACTACGGTGGTGCTGGAAACATTCAGCCCTTGCTGCTGTCAACATAAAGAACACACTGGTTTCCTACGTCGATGGTGTCCCCATCTGGTGGATGTAGATTAAATATTATTAGACACGATCCTCGAGAGATTAAAATGGACGCCATACCTCCGGTGATAATTCCATTGATCTGGACAATTTTCGGGGTAGCGCCCGTGACAGCCGTACGAAGGTCAGCAAGAGTCGTGACCCTGGGAGTTGAAGTATTCGTCTCAGAGAAGAGCACAGTATGAAGAAAATAAATCAAACGTCGTAGTGGTTCCACCCGCGCCTCCCGTCGTACCCCCATTCAAGGTTGCAAAGCCCACTTGTTGGTCGACTAGTGTATTTGTTAGACGCCAGATACACGCCATCCACGACGGCACTCACTAGGCGCAGCGCGCTTGTCGATCGTAACGCTGCTGACCAAAGCAAGCAGGAGTGAAACTATAGACAGACGAGTGAACATGGCTGAGAGGGTTGGGACTGCCTGAACAGGGCTTACGATGTTCGTTTTTATACCTGGTCAACCTGAAGTATACCGGACCGCCTCGACAAACAGGACATTCGTCGGAAGCAAATGAAGAATTGTGGAAAGAAAATAGAGATGGTACCGCTTAATTCTGTCCGTATGCCTGGACACTTGATTGGCTGTATGCGGGCGAACGTTGAATCTTCGGCGAAAGGGGCATGATATCGTGACCTTCCTAACGCGTGTAGGAATAGAAGCGACCCGGAAATACAACAGGCTATTGTTGATCCCACGGAAGCTGGAGCAGGCCTTGCTGATGCCTCCCAGCTGCTCGTTACCCTACTATCTGAATCAGTAGGGGAGTGGGAGGGAAAATCCGGGAGACCATAGGCGTGATTCGATTGCCGGGTAGTTGGAATGCCGGAAATGAACTCGGATTGTGTTCAAATGGCAAGTATGGAAGACGAAAAGTGCGTAACCCGCACTCGTGAGAGTAGTGACCGGGCCGTCCGGGTCTTAGCCCCCGCTGCATAGAGCACCGGGCAGTCCTGTGATCTGGATTGCGAATCCCGTCGTGGGTTTCCAACATTAAGCGTTGACAGTTCATTTGGTAGCTTGCCACGTTATGCAGCCCGGGCGCCGCATTGCTCCACACTTGTATGCGTCTCCGTACCTATTCTCCGAACTCAAATTGCTCAGCCTCGGCAACTGATGCTAGGATGCCCACAAAGCATGAAACGATTAAAAATGAAGACACGCGGCAAACCAGGGCTTAGTCTAGGCGAACGTTCGCCGCCCATTGTAATATTGTCATATCTTTTGTGCTAATAAAGCACGCTTCGTCTGTTGACGCGGTACAATAAAAAAGTTAAGAAAACAGCGCAACAGTGAGGGTATGCAGGTGCAGAGGTGAGGGGAGGGGGTGCTCAAAAACACCCGGCGGCACTCGAACCCGCAACCTCCAGATTCACGTCAGTGTAGAAGTCTGACGTCATAGCCATTAGACGACGGGGGCAACGAAGACGGCGGCGAAGTTCAGGGCTGTTGCGTAGAGACAATTGTCGGAGACTGAACACAATCTCGTGTTGTCGACCCAAGAAAAAAAAAGGACAAAAAAAAAGCGCCCCACCCACTCAGGAGAGACATCACATGTCGGAGACGGAAAACCAGAAGGGCAACAGGTGACTTCAGATGCACCAAGAGCACAGCCAATAAGATGCAATGATGTGAACCGCAAAACGAACTCCAGTCAAATCATTAGCAACCGGCAAAGCAAGCCAAAGGGAGAGGATTGAGACAGGACAAAATATAACTCGAAAATGTACTGGGAATCCAGCCTACCGGTGGAATGGCAGCTCTGAATCCGCACAAGTTCCACATGAAGAATTACTTTCGCTGGCCGTTGATTTATTCTGGGCTCGGCTAGTCCCTGGGCTACTAGGCATCTAATTTGGAAGCTAGAGAGGCTGAAGAGAGATTACCAGTCACCGTGGTTGAATTCGGCGTTGCTCTTCCGCAGCCGGCCAAGGTGCCGCCGGCCCATAGACACACCTCGTGATCGATCCATCACAATCTGCTCTTGTTCTTGACCGCCACCATCGAAAGCCCGCCTACATGCTGAAGACATCCCCCGAACTCGTCCTGGAGGTCCTGGATACGCTGGCTGTCCCGTTGGCATTCCCCGTTGACGCTGATTGTCTTCCGGGCCAGACAGCCCTGCTCTCATGCAGCTTAGTCTGCAAGAGCTGGTCCACCCACTCCCAACGGCTTCTCTTTCGGCGCGTCAGCATTGACACACAATGGACAGGCTGGGCTGCTCCATACAACACAGTGGTTCTGTCGAAAAACGTTAACAAAATCACCTCATTCCTTGAAACCATCACCAGAGACACGGAGAAGTCGCGCTGGCTCGCCCAGAACGTTCTCAGCCTCCTTTTACGGCCGCATTCGTCAACAAGGCCGAGCGTTATCGTTTCTATGCTCACCAATCTCCCGAACCTACGGGAACTGGATATACTCGGCATATCGTGCAGATTCAGTGACGCAGAGTACACGCACCTGCGGAACTCGGGGCTGGGTATCCGATCTTTGCGTATCAATGCAGATCACAGCGGCCCAATCACCTCAATGGGCCCCCCAGCCTGGCCGGATGTGGTCAAACTTATCGCGGCCCTTCCGGCGCTGCGGATGCTCGATATCACCGCCAACAACTTTCAGATTATCCCCACGATCGCAGACACTATCCCACAGCCGCTCGGCTTAGGACTTGTCTCGTTCAAGTTTAGCTCGAAATGGGTCGCCGACACCAGCACATTCCTCGCATCTCTCACTGCGGGCCGTACGGATGGGGATCATGTACAGTTGTACGGCCACACGCTCTCGGCCACACCAGCAGATCTGCACGGTGTCCTCACTGCTCACGGCCCTCATTTACGCTCCCTCGTGGCGCCAGGCAAGCTCAAGGATACGCAGGTCCTCTCGCTTTGCACACTGCTCGAGCGGTTCGAGTGTGAGACCATCCCCTCCGACGAGCTGGTCGCCGCGATAGCACGAACCATAACAGTGCTGGCTGTCACAAACCCGACCCCCGACCCAGTTGCAGCCCCGGCATCCTACCGTCCGCCTCCGAGCGAGATCCTGTCGGTGGCGCATTTAACGCAGCAGCTGGACACTTTCCCGAAGCTCAGGGCTTTTACTTGGATAGGGTCAACTACCCATCCCGACTTTCTGGCCTTACAAGAACGTTGTGGGGCCCTGGGGATCGACATGCGCTGCCGGGGAATCAACTCGGTGCGTCGTCCATTTTATTGCTCCCCTGATGTGCGGCTTGACGACGTATAACAGTTGAGCGATGATGAAATCCAGTTTGCGTTGCGTTGCGAGCTCTTGCAAATATAATGTTCCAGGTTCGGTTTTTTTTTCCCGGGATAACGAGATAGGTTCTCGTTATCCCGCCAGAAGTTTCTCGTTATTTCGCCAAAGTCGTCGCGAATCCGGTGATTGGATGTAGGTTCCATAGATCCAGTTGGTGGGTAACGGGATAGGTTCTACCCATTCAGTCATCGCGAATCCGACGATGGGCCGGTTGCTCCGCGTCCAAGTATCCTAGTCTAGCGGTATCTAAGTCTAGCGGTAAGTAACAGACATACAAGATCAAGGGGGATGATTGATGATTGATTGCGACATCGATCAGGCACGCCAGTTCGTTCGTTCTGCTGACTGCAAAGATTGGGTATCGGAAGTGCCCACCTTCTCCAAACTTCTACGGTATATAATGTGCTTGTGTGTGTGGGCGGAAACTTACTGCTTGTCAACTGAATCATTCAAATTCGAAACGCCGCTTAATTGCAACGAATCCCCATCTTAACGCTTAGATAGGGGGTCGCGTTTGATCGGCATTATGCGGTTTCCAATGGGTTCCCCTACAAAACCAGGACCTCGTCGTCCATCCTTTCACTAATCCCTCTCACTCGGCCATGGAGAAATATGTATCGCAGGGGAGTGTCTTGGTTCTGCTCGGCGGCGTGGTGCGCAATTCCTATTCTATGGCTTGACGCAAGCCTCGAGATCTGGACTCACTTTTTTTCCCCGCTGTTACAGCTGACGCACTTGGTCTTCAATCGCTTTGAGCCGCACCGCCCGCTCATCTGGGCATGCCTCTTCCTTGCCCCGCCAGCCGCGCTCGCCTACAGCCTTCATTTGTCGTATGGCGCTGTCCCGCTGCTGGTGCTGAAGCACCTTGCAACCCTCACGCTCTCCGTCGTCGCCTATCGTATCTCCCCCATGCATCCCCTCGCACACATCCCCGGCCCGCTCCTTTTCAAAACCTCCAACCTGGTCATCGCGTACCACGCCATAAGCGGGCGGCGCAACGTACTCATGGAGGAGCTGCACAAGCGCTATGGCAGAGTCGTCAGAATTGGTGCGTGGCCACTGATTCCGCAGGAGACTTCCACTAACTCTTCCCTTCGCCAGGGAGCGACCAGGTCTCTTTTGCAGACGCAGAGGCGGCGAAAATTTGCATGGGCAACAAGGGTCTGCCACGTTCGATCGGTGCGTCAACAAGACATGCGATTAACGACGTGATGTTGATGGTTTATTTTTCAGGCTACGCAACGGCAGAGACTGTCCACACTCCTGGAAGTATCATGACTTCCTACGCCGCCATCTATCCCGAGCCCACTAAAGTGCACGCCGAACGCCGAGCGCGCTGGGCGCTCGCCTTCACGACGAAGGCTATCCGGGAAGCCGACAAGTTTCTGCTCCCGCGCGTGGATCGGTTGATCAACAAGCTCGGCGAGCAAGAGGGTGTGCTTGATATCGGTAAATGGTTTGGCTATTTTACGTGCGTATTTCGACCTCGATGTAATTTTAACCCGACTGATCCTATTTCACCTTCCAGATTCGATTTCATGGGCGACCTGTTGTGCGTGAAAGGGTTGCGATTAATATTGCACATCCATCTAACCCAATCCACTGGACAGCTTCGGTGGCGCGTTTGACATGCTGGAAGACCAGCATAAGGGTGGTCACTGGAAGATTATAGAGGACTTCGCACCGTGTGTTGATTCCTCCCGCGTCCATGAGTATAACCAACTGACTTTCTTCCAGGGTTATAGCCACGCTGTACTACCTGCCGTGGCTCACGCCCATCATGCTGGCGCTTCCCGGTGCAGAGAATGCACCCATTAACACCTTTGTACGGTTCGCTATCAAGGCGGTCGACGATCGGTTGGCAAAAGGGACGAAGGTCAAGGACGCGTTCTACTACATTGTATGTCTCCTCAACTCCCGCTGTGTTCCCGACCGCTGACTATTCACGCAGGCGGGCGAGAACATTGAAGACGAAAATAAACCCAAGCCTACGCGCGCGGTGATCGAGAACGACGTGCAAACCGGTATCGTGGGCGGCTCCGATACACTCGCTAGCACACTCGCCAACACAGTCTTCTCGCTGCTCAAGTACCCGGAGATGATGAAGACGCTCCAACGCGAGATCGACGCGACGTTCCATATTGATGGTGTGGACATGCACGATTCTGGGCGGTTAGCGGAGCTGCCGTATCTAAATGCGTGCATGTGAGTGGTTCAAGTCTAATTTCTGAACACTATCAAATCCAATGCAGAAACGAAACTCTACGCGTCTTCCCCCCGGTGCAGACACGCGTCTCTCGTGGCATACCCAAGGGCCATGGAGGCCTGCATATTGCTGGAGTGTTAGTCGCGCCTATTCTTATGTACCCGAAACCCGTTTACCCCAAAAACGCGCATCATAGATACCTCCCTGAATCAACATCGATCGACTTCCCGCCACGCGTCATCCACCGGGACCCGGAATACTTCTCCCCCGACCCCGAACGCTACTGGCCGGAGCGCTGGCTCCCAGAAGCCACCACCGACTCCGCGCAGCCGTTCGTCATGAACACCGAAGGGTTCATGCCTTTCTCGCTGGGTCCTGCGAACTGTGTCGGGCGCAACATTGCCATGCGCGAGATGCGGCTTGTGCTGGCGCAGCTCGTGTACAAGTACGATATACAGGCGGCGGAGAAGGACCCGCGGGAGTTTGAGCGGCAATGGTTAGATGGGTTGTTGGACCACCAAATCTTGCTCAAGGGGCCGCTGCGCGTGACACTGACACCGCGCACACACGGTTGAGAGCGTGGTTGGAGGATTTGGATTTGTTTCGTCTAGACCTACGGGGGAATATATTATACTCGTATACGTAGATTTGTTTTAGTTGCCGTTCTAGGTGTTCAGTCGCTTTGCTGCCCCTGGAAAATCGCGATAGTATGAACTCTGCTGCCCCTCGAACGCCGCGTCGCACGCTGTAAGTTACAGTCTGTAACTCATTCTAGAGCCGGTGGTTGCTCATTCAAGTAGACGGGTTTACTAAGGCACCAATCAGCGTGTCTTCATCAAATGTAGGATTATCAAAAGTTATAAAAGCAGATTTTCCTGATACTATTCCAGAAGTTCGTTTAAATATAACTGGATCACAAATACCTCTGAACAAAT